GGTCTAGACTTGGCATACGGGTAACAGTTTTGAGACCGGTCTCCCAGCAGCCAGAATAGCTACGTCTGTATTAACAAGTAGTTTTGGGCAAAAGAAGAAGATTTGTATAATGAAACAGCTGGTGCTGTATCTCATGTCAACCCCGAGTCCATTTGAAGGGTTTTTCTCTCACTCTAGCTCTAGTCTGATTCTGTAGACCAAATGTGCATTAGTGGTTGAGATGTGGTCCTGTAGCACATCTCCTAGTTTAGTTTAATCCAAAGGAATCCAGTTTGTGTCCTCCAAGACCTCTTCTCAGTATAAGTTAAGCAGCAAGAAGTATGAACAGGAGATATGCTTTTAAAAGTACAGTCCTGAACTAGATTGCTAAACCAGATGCAACTGCAGTGTTGATGTTGATGGCATATCCTGGCTGCTCGAGAAAGCACCATATGTATGAAGGAGAGCTAATCTCTTCTCTCCTCTCTTTGGGTATCTCTGCTGCTCATTCAGTGGAAACTGAGCTCACAGGTTTTCTGCATTGAGCCAACTGAAGGCCTGAATGGGTAGTTTTAGTTGTAAAGAAAGCATTTATGGCCTCTGCATTCTCTATCTGTCTCGCCTGGGAGATGGCAGCAAGCCAAACAGAAGCAGTTCATGGGCTGGACCAGTCCCCAGGCCAGCTGCTGGACCACACTACCTTGGAAGGCATGGGAAAAGCAGGAGTTGGGAATTGTTACCAGTCCCTTCCCAGTGCTCTGAACATAGAGTCATATACCTTTCAATTTTCTTTTCACACTCAAAGAGCATGTGTGAAAGAAATCTTCCACATCTTCCATTCACACTGGGGGAAAAAAAGGAAAAAGATGACTACACCTACGAAAGAAAACAGTCCTACTGGTATGCACACTGTCTTCATAGGTGTCACAATTAAAAATCTTGACCTGGAATTTTGCATGGGACTCATTCGTTGTGATCTGCCATGTGTATGTGTACGTATGCCTAAACACTATTATTACCTCCCTTAAATAAGATTCTGTTTCACATGGGCAATTCTAGACACCTGAGCTGCAGAAAGAAACATTAGATGAAAGCACTGGAAACTTTAAATATATGTATATAAACTCCAAAGGTCCAAACTGAAAGTAATCATTCAATTTTAGTGAATTTGAAAAACAGTGTGTTCAAGAACAGTGCCTGATGGAAAGAGTAATTTCTTTCCATTTCCTAGAAGAAAGGTGATAGAGGGGAACGCAGACTTCTTTGTAGCTAACTGCATGTTTCCATAATCAGAACCACACTGTAATTCTGATTGTTTCAATTAATCTCCCAAGTACTTTCTTTTGCACTGCAGTTGTCCCACATCCTCACATGCATTTCTACAAAAGACAAGTTCAGGTGATATACAATTAGTGCAGCATCCCCTCTCCTTTTCCCGCTGTCTGCTCTCATTGGAGGTAATCAAGTAAGACATTCTCATGCTAGAATACTTCTTATTCATTATACCACTCCTTCGGGAATTTCCAAGAAGTCATTATTAACCTACATTATAAACGGCAACTTTTTTTCATCATGTGGATGATGAGAAAACCAGTATGTGTGTTCCCTGTCCTGGTTTCCTGCTTTTTTTTGAGCCAATCTACTATTTATCTGTTTCACAGGGAGATAAAAAATGTGGGTGTTCCAAGCCTGTGGGAGAGAGGCAAGGGTGCCGCTGTGTCTGTGTCCCTGCTTCCCAGGGCGGCAGGGCGGCAATGGCGAGGCGAAACAGCAGCTCCCACCACTAAGCCCCCCCAGCCTCTTATCTAGCTGCAACTGGAAAATGGCATGTAATGTTTATATGTACATCATGTGCTCTATGCTGTAGTCAACATCAAATAAAAACAGCTATCACCAATACACATTTTTCTGTTACTTGCTTTCCATGGTGTATTGAAATGTTTTATAGAAATCAATCCTCTGTCTTTCCATTAAGCTGAATCTCTATTGGACCTCAGAGGAAATAGTCTGTTACCATGGAGAGGAAGAAGAGAAGCCCTTATTATAAAACTATTGCTTCTAAAGCATTATTAAAGAAAATCAGAATCCAGAAATTCTTGACGTTTCTCAGAGATAAATCATCCTATAAACAGAGAGGCTCCTTTTCTTCTCCAGACAATATTTTACAATTAACAGTGTCCCTTAGCTAGCCAGCTAGTCTTTCATTAGTTTCATGGGGGAAAAAAATATCATACCAACATAATCTAATTAAGTTCCTGCTGGATTTCTTTGAAAATGTAAGTCAAAATTTCAAAGAAGGACCTGTAGCATTTCTCTCCATGGGATACCATCAGAGTCAGGAGCAGTAGAGATATTCAAGCCTAATTTAAATGGCTGATGGGCTGTGGTAAAATACCATTCATCAGGA